TTAAACAGAAAATCTATATCTAAATCTCTTTTAGGCATTTCATCGGGAACCTTGGAAGTATATGAGGCCTTCTTGATAGAAGTTTCTTGTGAGTAGAAATGAGAAAGATTAGAGAATTCAAAACTAACCAGCTTCTTTGGGGAATCTGCCCCAAATCTTTCCACTAATGCTACCACATATTCATTCCAAGTTGGTGGTTGAATGTATTGCCTGTATTTCATAAAGGACAAGTGCCACCGAACAGCTTCACCTTCTAACTGTAGAGCAGCAATGCTAATCTTCTCCTCCATGGGAATGTTCTCCCTATGGAAGAATTGATCGATTCTAAACAACCAAGATCTGAGATCTTCTTCGGAAAACTTCAAAAACTCCATTGTCGACCTTCGAGGGTAATGTGAATTCTGATTACCGAAGCTACTGTGTGATTGTTGCTCTAACTGCCATCCACCCACAGGTATTTTGTCTCCTCCTGTGGGTATTTTATCTCTTAGATTCGCTCCATTGCTTGCCATTAGTTCCTTGATTTCAAGCACCACTTGATCCAATTTTTGAAGATTTGAAACTTTCTTTGCTAGAGTACCAATTTCCAATAACATTTTCTGCATCATTTCACGCAATTCCCTTACTTCACTAGAAGAACTCTCATTTGCTCTTGCTGATTTTTCCATTGCTGCCAAGGATTCGTATGGCTCTGATACCAATGTTAGCCAAAATGCAGGGATTCTCAAGGAATCCGAGGTTTTAGCAGCTGGACAGGAGCTTAGCGGAGAAGCTCGAGTTATTCAGCTATGGTGGATGGAAAGATAGAAGATGAAGAATAGAATTCCATCGGAAAGTGTACTTGTATATTCAATTTGTCAATCTGTAATGATACAATGCTTTATATAGAAATGAGAAAGAATCTTATCTTGCTAACTGCTTCTAACTAATCCAACAGCATAACTAACTACTCATAAGGCAAAACTAACTACTGATTTATTTATTGTGTAACAATTGATTGATGGTTACCTAGTAATTCTACGTTAATGGAGTGTATAATTGGACCATATATAACAAATTAAAGGAGGAAATAAATTTGAAAGTCTATCTACTAACGGGCAATGGAATCTAGAGAAAATTTATTTTAGCCTCCTAGACGACATTGTCAGCCTCATTCACAGTACCTATATATATATTCCCCAAATTGAGCAGACTCATGATAAAATTAGCTGGTTTCCACCCTATCTACGAGCTTTATTTGTCTACCACTTCCTTTGAAACAAACAAAACTATATCATCTCTAACAAACTCAATTTCAATTGGATCTGAAATCTTCAGTGCCCAAACAAACTAAAATACTTTATCTGGCAATGTGAACATGGACGGCTACCCACATGCAACTACCTAAACTCATTGGAATCAATATGAATAAAAATTGTTGTAATTTTTTGTAACTGCCCTGCAACCATTATACATATCTTCCGAGAATGTACCAAAGTAAGGAACCTATGGCATACATTAAGAGTGGAACATGAAATCTAGATTCTCAAAAACATGCACAACTGCGAATGGTTGGAGTAACTTCAGAATCTTAAAATCAAACTTAAATATTACCCCAACTGATAGGATGCCTTCCCTTTCTTCCTATGGAATATATGGTTGGTAAGGAATGATAATTATCATAATAAACGAAACACACCGATTAACATAACAAAACCTCTACATGTTGCATGCTGCTAAATACTTTGCTCTCACTAGAAGGAAAAAACAATAACAAAAATACAAAGGAACCTTTTTCAAATGGAAACCACCCAATATAGGGTTTAAATTGAACATTGACGGTTCAATCAACACAAATAACGTTAAAGGTGGAGTCATCAGAGACTTGGAAGGCAACTGGATAACAGGGGACAAACAACAATTCAAACAGAACTTTGTGCACTACTACAAGGGGTGACTATTGCTCGAAAGGATAATTTGATCCCAATCCAGATTGATATAGACTGCAAAGAAAAATGATCATCCATCTTACTTTAACATCTAATCTAATGGGCGCTACTTCATCAATTGGGGAACACCCCTCCCCCCACCCCCAAATTCAGCATAGATTCTGGGGGAAAATCAAGTGGCAGATGCGTTAGCTAAAGAGGGGTCTAACTTATCAGCAACTATATCTTTTGTGAACTGGGCAGTTCCACCTTTGTTTGTGGCAGTGAAGTTGAAAGTAAATAAGGAAGGAACTCTTTTTGTTATACTAATCAAGTCTTCTACTGCAAAAAAAAAAAAAAAACTTGTAATATATATAGTAATCACCCCCTACCCGCATACTAAGAAGTAGTTCCACCGCTCTGCCATGTAATGATTATTAATATAATTATCTTGTTTACCAAAAAACAAAAGTAATATTATGACTTCTATAGCTCGCCATCCCAGAATTGATGGGCAGATTTGTATGGTCCATTTGGATGAACTAAAACCATGTCAACTTTGAATCCGGTGCAAGGAGGAATCTCTTGAATTTGAGCTATTTCTTCATTACTTAGTTCCCAATCCAAAATTTGTAGGTTCTCTTTCATCCTGTCCTTGTTGAAACTCTTCACTATTGCGCTAGCTCCTTGCTCATATACCCATCTTAATGCCACCTATAAATATTTGTAACATAGGCTAATTAGATAAAGTCAATATATTGTGTAAAGATTTTCTTGGAATTAATCTCAATGTGTGAGTATATATGACCAAATAATAAGGAGAGAAGTATTGAACACTTCTAAACTTTGCACAAATTATTAATTTCATTCCAGAATTATTGACAGTCTTAAAAATATCCCTCTACTTGACTAACTAAACTCATATACACCCCAAATCTGTTATATGACATAGCAAGTAGTCTCAAACTCTTCTAGTAGCACACAACTCTTAATATAATGCCAACAGAAGTGTTGATAACACCTCGAAACTTTGCGAGAATTTAGGGATGTATTTCACTCATGTTATAAGATCAGGGATGTATTAAAATTTAGTTAATCAAGTAAAAAGATATTTTTAAAGCTATCAATAATATAATTCAAAAATGAAACTAATAATTTATACCGAATTTAGGGATGTTATCAATGCATTTTCACCTGAGCAACGCATGGGTGCCCCAAGGAGTTATCCCATTACCTCCAAGTGGAGACCATGCACTCACATGTATTCCTTTTTCCTTGCAATACTCTAACATCTTCTCTTGCCTCCATGCAACATGCATTTCCACCTGTAAAATATTAGGAGTATTCAATTTATGTGACCTGTTTTTCTTTTTATATGGATTATAGCTATTTTTTTCTAGCAATTTTTTAATTTCAACTTTTCACATAATATTCTTAATGCTATAGATTAAACAAATTAAAATGGATAAAGTACTACGTACTAGTGATTTATAACTAAGAGCGTGTTTGATATAGAGGAAAAATATTCTTCAAAAAGTATTTTTAAATTTCATGTTTGTTTAGTTAAAATTTCGAAAAAATGACTTTCCTACTGAGTCAACTTATAAATTAATGCATGTTTTCAGATAATATTTTCGGTTTATTTACCAAACACAAAAAGTAAGTAGAAGAATAAACTTATTACCTTCTTCTTCATTGTCACTGGCAAATGTATTAGGTATAAATCCAAGTAATCCATCTTCAGCCTCCTACAAATTACAATTAATAGGATTAAGATTCATTATTGACTTTATAATTAATCACATCATGTACTTATCTGTCGAGTTTCACCAAAAACAATAATTATGTTTTAACTCCAAACTAGTAGGTTTTTAAGTAATATATGAATCATCACTATCCATATCAGTCTATGTTGTACTAAGAGCAAGTGACAAAATAAGAAATGAGGTTATCCGGGAAAAAGGTGAGAATTGCCTCTATGACAGATAAAATAATTAAGGGAAGTAAGACTGACATGGTTTGGGAATATGAAAAGGAGGTTCATAGATGCCTCAGTGAGGAGGTACAAGAGGTTGGTTGTACAGGGTACACAGAGGGGTAGAGGTATGCAAAAAATGTATTGGGAGAGGTGATTATACATGACATAACGCAACTTCATATTTGTTAGGTCTTAGACCTAACTCACACCCCAAATATCTCAAAGGGAGGAGAATTGCCCAAGCCTTATATTATAAGGACTCCACCCATTTCACTAATCATTAATGTGAGACATTTGTCATTCTTTAACACCCCACCTCACGCCCAGTGCGTGGACAAATTTGTTTTTTTGGGGGCCAAACATTGGGTGAGATGAGCCCTACTCTGATACCATGTTAAATTAGGTCTTAGGCCTAACTCACACCTCAAAAGCTAGCTCAAAGGGAGGAGGATTTTCCCAAGCCTTATAAGGAGTCCACACATCTCATTAACCACCAATATGAGACTTTTGTTATTCTTTAACAATATTATTGAGGACATGACTCTAAAATAGGAAGGAGTAAATGTCGTGTATAAGGGTAGAAGGTTAATTAGTAGAGGCAGAGTATTTTATTGTCTTGTTTTAGTTATCTATAGATCGTTGTTTCGATTATCACACTACTTTGTTGCTGATATATATAGTTTCTTTCTTGTAGGTTCTACAGTACTGCTTATTGTATTATTGTTATACATTTTCTTCTAGTTTTACTTGAGTTTGGTGCACTTGAGCCAAGAATCTTTCGAAAATAGTCTTTTTACCTCGCCAAGATATGATAAGGTTTGCATACATTTTACCCTTTCAAGATCCCACTTAATGATTTTCACTAAATATGTTGTAGTGGTATTTCAGCCCAATATTATTTTAAAAAAATAATAGTAATAATACAATAGAAAACAATAATGATAACACCATAATCTTCTGAACTATGATATGAGCATTTAATTTACTCCTTTCGTCTCAATTTAATTGTCTTAATTTGACTAGACACGAAATTTTAAAAATAAAGATAGACTTTCAAATTTTGTTTGTTTTAAATTAAATTAAAGATGTATATACTCCTTTAAATCTCATGATCTTAAACTTAAATATTGAAACTGAAAAACTTGCTAAACATAAGAAAAACACTTTTTAAGACAAAAAATAAAGTGAAAAACTAAAAATTAGAACAAGGGGAGTATATCACAAATAGACCATTGATTTTCAACCAACAACAAGAAAAAAAAACAAAAGTATTTACGTACCCAAGAGTTCTTTTTAAGACAGGAAGAACAAGGTCACGATGAGTTTCCGTGCACCATAATTTAGACGTAATAAACACTTGTTCACGACTCTTAATGAGTCCGCGTTGTAGCGTTTCCCCCACTGCTTGGCCAAGTGCTTCCTCGGAGCCATAGACAGCGGCTGTGTCAAAGTGACGATAACCAATTTCAATGGCATCTATGAGTGTTGACACTAATTCATCATGTTGTGGTAAGGAAGGTGCTGTTCCCATCCCTATAAGAGGCATTTCATGACCAGAATTCAAATTCACATTTGGCACTAGGGCGGTTCAAAACCGAACCGAAACCGATAACCTGAACCGAAAAAAAGTTATTGGTTTAGCGGTAATGGGTTATTGGTTTAGCGGTTTAGATAACGGTTTTGATTTTTTTTGTTATTGGGTTATTGGCTCTTAACGGTTTGAGGTTTTTCTTAATGGGTTAACCAATAACCCGATAGTAAATTAAATAATTATATTCATACCATTTTGTATATAAAGTCCTTGACTTAGAGTTTAGTTTCCTACTTTTATTTTTGGCTATCTCATAATCTTGGTTATTCTACAATGTAAAAGTGTTTGCTTTTGAGCAAGATGCAACTAATGAACTCATGTACATGATTCATTCAATTTGTCACCTTGTTTCTAAGTGATGTTTTATTAATTTATTTTTGTGTCAAATCTTAACGGTTAAATCGATAACCGAACCGATAACGATCAATAACCGATAAACCAATAACCGATAAGCCAATATCTTAATGGTTCTATAACGGTTTTGCATCTCTACAAACCGATAACCAATAAGTCAAACCGATATACTTCAAAATCGAACCGACCGATACGCAACCTATTTGGCACTAACATTTGCTTCATGTTCATAGTCATGACCTAAAATGAATAAGTGGTAAAGGTGTATATATATATCCCAACAACGTTCCACTTGCTGCGGCCTAATTTAGAGACATGTGATATACTTGGAAATAAAATTATGTACATTTCGTTCGTCTAGTTTTATTAGTCTATTATAATAAAAATAAATATCTATTTTATTTATGCAATTTAAAATATCAAATTAAAATGAATAAATAAAGATGGAGAAAGGAGTAATATTGACTTGTGTAGATAGTTGATGTGCACACAAACCAAACTAATCCTTATCTTTTGTTTGATTTGTGGTGGAGTTTGTCCAAAATGATCCTTTCAAGTTCAACCATTTGTTCAAGATATTACTACACTAAGAGTCTACAAGCATATTGCTAGTAGTTTTGATATTTTGAATTATTGGCATTTGAAAAATATCGTGCAATATTATTATATAGATTTATTTTGATAATTTTGGTCAACAAAAAGTTCAGTCTATATTCTATTTATTAGTTGGATCAGCCAAAAAGTAATAATTGAATTTTAGTACTTCTATGGTCCTTGTATTTGTTTGGATTTTTCTTGAATAACTTGTGGACCAATAAAAGTTACGTGCTACTAGCTACTACTACTATTCGTAAGAAAAAAAAATCAAAATTCAAAGAAAAAATTGAAAAAGTAGCAATCACATATGACGTATTTGATTTGTTTTTAATTTTTTATTTTCTCCCAGATAAAATGATAAATAATAAAAGTCTACAAGTAGATGGCTGATCGTCAACATGTCTGTTTATAGCTATTGTTGGTACTTTATAATTAGTGGCACTTTAAAGATATTGTACAATATTGCTTTATAAAGTACCTTGACAATTTTGGACAAAAAAGTTCGGCCCATACTCTGTTTAATTAGTTGGATAAACCAAAAAATTGTGGTTGAATTTTTGTACTTCTATCCACAGTCTCAAGGTAAAATGTAAAGTTGAATTGTTTTTTTTTTTGTAAAGAACAATAACTGTAGTAATGCAAAATGAATTTGTTTGCAAATCTTTGCTACGTTATAGTTCCCATTTATAGTTTCGAAAAAATCAAATGACTTACAATTTTATTTTTGTACAGTGAGATATGAATTATATATTACAGAAGCGCAAATTTGAGTGATAAAAAATAACAAATTGCTTGATGAATTATAAAACAGTTAAACACACTTTAACAACTTTTCTTTGTAGCATTCGAATTCTTTGATGAAGCCTTTGTATATGGGGGATGCTTATATAGAGGTTCTTATCATCAATTCTCATTCCTAGTACAAGAAAATTTTTAGTAAAATTGAAAGAAGGATATGTAATATTTCATTTCTTGTGAATTTGTTTTTAATGGTGAAATGACTATTTTGTCCTTTTTCTTAGCGTTTTCATGCTTAGTTTGTGTTTCGGGAATGGTTGGTGTGGTCCCCAATGTGATCGGGTGTGTTTTTGGTGATTTGACCCTTTTGAATTGAAATTCTTGGTATGGTTGACTTTGGTCAACATTTTGAGTTCCGAGAATCAAATGGGAATTTTGTCAGTTTCGTTGTTTCCGGAACGTCGATTTTGAGCTAATTAGGCGGTTGATAAGGTTTCCGAGGCCTTGAGTTGAGTTTTGGGTGTTTGGGCTAGAAGTTGAATTTTAAGCCTTAAGAGTGGTCTGGGAAGGTATTTCTATCATTAAACCTTAAGGCGGAATGTGGGTTTTTGTGGATAGCATGTCCAATTTATTTTTACCGGACTCCAAATGATTTTTGAGGGTTCGATAGGAGACTTGGACTTATGGCTTTTCTATTTTCTGATGTCAGGTGCAAGGGGACTGCGTTCACGGGAGGATCTTAGCGCAATCATGGGTGAATAGTGTTTCGCGATCGCGACACTATTCCAGCATTTTCGGGCAAGAGCGATTCAGTGGGCTGCATTCGCGATGTACTGCTCGCGTTTACGGACCCCATGTTTTTTTACCTGGGCAGAACCTAATTCGGAATTTTTCTCATTTCCATCATTTTCAACCTTTTGGAGCTCTTAGGGGGAGGCAATTTTTGGGAGCATTTTTGTGCAAATTCGTGTGGGTAAGCTATCAATTCCTTGATGATTCCTTCAAGTTTTATCTCCCGAAAACTCTTTTAACTCTTGATTTCAAAGTGGATTTTGGAGTTTTTCTCCCAAAGTTGGAAAATTAGTAAATTCTTGATTAGATTTTTGGATTGTGGGATTTTTCTCCCGAGCCGAATCTCCAAAAATATCGATAAAATCTCAATAAATACATATTCAAAATTAGATTACCTAAATCAATGAGATTCTGATGCAAGTCCTTTGTATGACTTCTTTCATTTTGAAAAAAAAAGAGGTAAAAGAATCTGGAAGAAGAGAGAAGGAAGAATAAAAATGAAAATAAGCAAATAGAGAGGAAATTGAATATTTTTTAAACAAAGAAAAGAGAGGTCAATGGAAGCAAAAATAAGATATATTTTAAGATGATAGTTATAAACATTTAATTTGCTATGAACATAAAATATTGTTCTTTTTCTTAATATTTTAAAACTGTAACTGTTTTCCATAAATAAATTGATAATTTTAATTAGTTTCATAATTTTCTCTATTTTTAATTTAAATAATTTGATGGTTGATTTTTTTTAGGGATAAGGGTTTGAAAAATACTCCAACTTTGGTCGAATTTGCTGTTGCGATACTAAACTTTCATGAGGACCTATTACCTCCCTAGACTATTTAATACCGTATTTTAAACATATATATTTGCCCACGTGGACATAAAAAATAATGCAAAATTATAAATAGTAATGTGTCCACGTGGGCACATATATACTTTTAAAATACACTATTAAATAGTTCAGGGGGTAAAAAATACGGTATTAAATAGTCTAGGGAGGTAATAGGTACTCATGAAAGTTTAGTATTACAACAGCAAATTCGACCAAAATTAGGATATTTTTCAGACTCTTATCCCAATTTTTATATAAAGACTATGTAACATAAGATATAATATGCCCAAAAGACCAAGGTGTTAATTAGGAAGCTCAGCAGCCAGTTTGGCTCTTAAATCCTTTCGAAGTATTTTGCCTGATGGAGATTTAGGAATCACATCCACAAAAAATATCCTCTTTATTCTCTTATAAAATATCACCTAAAAAATAAAAAAATAAAAAGTCAGCATAATAAAAATCAAACCTTCTAATGAACATTCCTTTTTAATACTTTCTATTTATAAATAATTTACATTTTTTAAAATTTAGTATAGAAAGTATTCTCTATGTTTAAAGGGGAATGGTTGATTTTGAAATACTATGGAAAACTATTGAATATTTGCAAAGGTAAATTAGACATCTATCTTTTAATAATTTTGAGATAAAAAGTTATTGTATATTTTAAAAATATTAAGAAGTACTTAAAACAATTTTATAAAAATAATTAAAATAGAAAAAATATTTTAAAATTTCCTAATCAAAGTAAAGTTATTTTAACTTCTGATCCATAAACTTTTTCATTTGTGAACTTGTTTCCAAAATATTTGACATTACTGAAGAATAAGAAGTCACTTGATGGTATTTTTCTTAGATTTATTTTTATTGTACTAATTAGTGGCTTAATTATTACTATCTCCGTCCACTTTTAATTTTCATAGTTTCTTTTTATAGAGTCAAACAATAATAATTTTGATTAATATTTTACGATGTATTTTTTTCATCATATTAATATGCAAAAAATTGAAACTTTTCGTATAATTTTTGAATATCTATTTTTTTTGTTTAATATATCGAACTAATGTAATTTAATTTAACTTTAAAAATTAGTCAAATTGACTTTAAAAAAACGCAACATGACAATTAAAAGTGGGCAGAAGGAGTAATTGAGTTGTTTAAAGAGACATTAAAGGTAATTTTGACACTTATGATTATCATTATTAAGAGTCTGTTTGACATTGTTGTAACTGGGAGGCCAAAAACACTTACTTTGAGAAAAAAATTGAAAAATTAAGATGTTTCGCTAATCAGTTAAATTGCTTTTAAATGAAAGCAGAAGCAATTTTTTTGTTGCTAGGAAGAAGTTAAAAAAAAATTCTTCTTAAAAAAAGCAGAAACATAAGCAAAAAATTTATTTCAAGATCAAAATATCCATGTCATGTATACATATTTATCAATATATTCAGTATATTTTTATTTATTTTTGTGGTAGGATTTAATTTGTGAAATAATTTTAAATTTATTTTGCTTGATATTTTTAATTATATTTAAATCATCATATTAATATTACATCAATATTTAATTTATTTTTTTATTCATCTATGTGTAATATTGATTGAAAATTGGAATATGTACATTTTAATTTAATAAAAATAAAAATTTAATTAAAAAATTATAATGGATATTAAAATAATTTGTATGTATAACTAATCTTAATATTAAAAGAGCATTAATACTTGTCATTTTTCGTAATTTGACTCTGAAAAGTACTTTTTTAAAAAAGTTTACTCAAACACAATTTGCTTATCAAAAATACTTTTCAAATGAATAAACCAAACACAAATCACTTTTTTTCAAAAACACTATTCAAATGAATATACCAAACACAAATTACTTTTTTTCAAAAACACTTTCCAATGAATAAATCAAACACAAATTACTTTCTTTTTTTTAAATACTTTTCAAATGAATAAACTAAACATAAATTACATTTTTTTTTAAATATTTTTTTTGAAAAGCTATTTTAAAAAATATTTCTAAAAATAAGTTGTTTTTAGCAGTAATATGAATCAGACTCTATAAGGGAATGGAAATAGAGAAGAACCAAGAATTTAATTTCTTTTTAAAATGAATGATACTAACCTGCTTAGAGATAAAATCCTTGATTTCATCCTCAGTAATGGTGGATCCATTTGATCTAACAACAAAAGCCACTGGAACTTCCCCTGCTTGCTCATCTTTCATGCTGTCAAATAAATTATAATGAATATATTATCGAATCCGCTTACTACACTCTAGCTTCACACTTATTTAGTGATAAAAAATACTCATTTT